CATAATTATTAAACTGAAGTATAGAAGTCTAATCAAATTCTCCAAGTACATGTGATTTGGTGATTGTTTTCCTTAATTGTGAGTTCTCCTTAAAATCTTTAGCGGTGGCATTTATTATTATCATTACTATTACTACCATGAACAGTAGTTTTCACTAAATATGTCTGTATAGATTTATTAGTTTGGATATTTTAATCACATGTATCTTTTAAAGTTCTTGGCCTGCTATAATCGGGGAACATAAATATCCTATTTAAAATCATTCAAGCTTAGAAGATTCATTAAAGGAAATACAACCAGTAGCCCCTAAGTGAGCATTTTCCATTTTCTTCAAAGAGAGCAAAAAGCTATTAATAGTGGTGGGGCCCCTGATTTCTGTTTGTAACTTATGCACATACACAAAGACAATGTGGAGCACCTTTTTCACGTTTTCCTTGACCATAAATCTTTACCTTTTTTTAATCTGTCACAGAACATATAAGGAATCCCCAGGGTTCAGAAGCCAAGAGCAGCATAATTCTTCATACAGTGAGAAAAAAAACTAAGGCACAATTTTATTTTCATTGAACAAATTTCTAGAATGCATTTTGGGGGGCAAAAATAGCTAAAGTGACTTCATCAATTGTGTCCTTGCTCCCAGTACTTAAAAATGAAATAGCTTTAAAGTCACACAAATTTACCTTAAAAATTATAACTATTTTAATAGCTGTGATTAGACAAATTCATTCTTCTACTTTCATAATGGATATTAGAGATAGAAGCCTCTAAGTACAATGTATTAAGTCATCTTATGGTGTCTTCGGATATATTATTGTCACTCAAATTCTGCAAATACTCCGGATATTTCATGAGCGCTTTCTTCCTTTCTCAGTTATAGATCTGAGAAACTGTACCCACTCATGTCCCAATCATTCTTTAAAATCCTACCAGCAGGCTATGTCCCCATCCACACCAAACCACCACAACCAATGTTTCTAATGACTTGCTAGTTTCTGAATTCAATGTGTACTTTTCTATTCTTATTTTATGTAACCTCTTAACAGCATGTGACATTCCTGTCTACTCCCTCTTTCTTGCAATACCCTTTTTCTGGGACTTCCATGAACTTGGGTACCTCCTAGTTTTCTTGGACTCTGGTCTCTTCCCTCCAGATTTTTGTTTGCTCATCCCTTAAAAATAGGTGCCCCTTTGAGTTCCTCAGGGACCTATGCCTCTTGACATTGTGTTCCATACTTTTTGGCTTGGTGATCTTATCCATTTTCATCTCTTTAGTTACCGTCCTGATATCTGATCACTCTCTAATCGATGTATCTCTGACTGAAAGTTGCAACCCAAATTCCTGACCCAAGGAGTCATGTGATTAATATGTCTTCAGGTCAATGTATGACAGTCACCTTAAGCACACCATGTCCAACCTGAACTCATAATCTTATCTCATGCCAGTTTTTTTTTCAAGTGTATCCACTTTCAGTAAATGGCAAAACTATTCATACAGCTCTTCAGGCCAGAAATGTATGCATCATTCTTGAATCCTCCACTTTGCTTATCTCTAGGATTAACATTTATCATTCAAATTGGGATGTTTTTGAAGGAAAACAAAAACTGGAATTATCTTGGGCAAACTGGAATGCACAGTCACTTTCTTACACAATTAGTTACAAAATTACTACTTCCTAAATATTCTTTGTCTTCACTTTTCCCATCCCCACTGCTACTACCTTCACTCAGATCAGTATCATCTCTCAGCCAGATCACACAGCAGCCACCTATGTTTAATCTCTGAATATACTGTTTGCCTATTCCACCTTAAAACCCACATTGTAGCACAAGTATTTTCTAGGATTTCAACTGTATCATATCACTGCACTGATTAGAGCCCTCCAATAGCTTCCCATTGCTGTTAAGGTAAAGCCCATGAAAGCGGAAACCATATTTATTTTTCTCACCATTGAATTTCTAGTAGGACCTAAAAAGGAGCAATACAACAGAAAATATTAGTTGAATAAATGAAAGAATGCCAGTAAGCCTGCCTAAGGTAGGTTGTATTGGCATATAGAAAATCAGTTATCTCCTTAAAAAACACAAGGATGTCTCTGATCAGACAAATCTCTTACTGTTGTGGATATTAACATAAGGTGAACTTGACACAAACATTTTTGAGTTGTCTCTGGAAATTTCAAGGCCCTTTGTTACATTCCTTTATAGAGCTAACCGTTTCCACCATCTGTCACCACCTATCGCCAAACCAATGTGCAAGAAAAGTCCAGTGTCACCGAAAGCACAAGGGATTGGATCAGCAAGACCCTGTTTTGATTCTTATCTCATTCTCTTACCTGTTGTGTGACAATGAGCAAGTGAGAATCTTTTAGAGTGAATGCCTTCATCTATAAAATAAAATTAATAACATTACCCATCTTGTGTAGCTTTTAGGAATATCAAGTAACATAATGGTGTGAAAGGTTTCTGTAAACTAAAACACATGGGATAGTAGAAATAGGAGTAGATGCTGCTGCTCTAGGCAGAGATAACCTAGATGTCAGTTGTTTGGGTCTATTATATAGAAATGAAAAACTATGAATAGGAAAAATGAAATTATCGAAAAACAGCTTTTAAAAAAATCTTAGCTCCCTATTATATAAATATACAATGACAGGTTGTGTAAAGCACGTGTTATTTATATCACAGGCTGCCACAGTGGAAGCCTAAACCTTATGGGCGTCTTGAAGTATGTATTATTTAACTCAATGATCCTTTTAAGTAATCTGGCTTCCTCATCGCATGTGATCTTATGAAACTTGCCCAGTATTAGATCACTGACTAAAACAAGGTCTACCAGAGATTTTATTGGTGAGAAAAGAGAGCAGCTAAATGCCATGTGCTTTAACAGTAAATTGGAAAATAATTTATTCTCCTTTAATAATGATATGGATGCGACCCAAACATTTCCGATGTGGAAAATAGTGCAAAAGTCTATGAAGAGTTTAAACAACTAAGAAATAAAATTACAGATTAATACTGAAGATATTGGAAATTAATTTTACACTGCTAAAGGCATCTTCTAGTCTTAAGAGTCTCTAAATTAGTTTTGGTTTTAAAAACACAACTCAAAATGCTATATAAAATTCTGAAGTGACAGAAATATGTTTTAAGAAAGCAATAAAATAAGTATGTTTTAGGAATGTATATAATGGTAAAAAACATGTAAAATATTATTGTTTCATAGTAATGAAGAAGAAATATTTTAATGTGCATATTAATTTTTCATCAAGTTTCCCATTAAATTCATTCAATTAGGTAAAATACAGCGTTAGTGTACTGTCTTACTTCTTAAACACAGTTGATTCTATCTCCTTAGTTCTCTCTGAAACTGGTTCTGAATTCTCCACCCCACCTTCGACTGCCTTCAGGACCCAATCTTGTTTTTTCACTAATCCTCCTGCTTCCCATGTTGACTACCTCAGATTTGTCCTATATATTGCTAGTTGGATGAGTTTTCTAAAATGTAAATGTGAAGAAATGACTACATTGCTTTACATTCAAGAGGAAAAGGCAAAAGTTATGACACATAAGGCCTTTCACAAGCAGGCTCCAATCAACATTTTCAACCTCGTCTTCTGAGACACTTCCATTCATATACTCTTATCATTAAAATACTTCCACCATTTCTCAAATACTGTTTACTCCATTTTAGGAGTTGGCAAACTATGGTCCTTGGGTTGTATCCAGCTCATTTTGATGAAACAAAGATTGTAAATATTAAACTTTACAAGATAATACACCAAACTGTTACCAATTTATATACCCACCAGCATTGTATGCCAACCCCATTTAAATTATATCTTACCACAGTAGTGTATGCCAACCCCATTTAAATTATATTAAATTATATATTACCACTTTGTATTCTCAGCCTTCTTGATTTTCTACTTGAGCAGTAGAAAATGATATGTAATACATATTTGATTACTACTAAAATGACTTTTTGAGATACTTGAAATATCTCTACCTGTTTTTTCTCTGAAATGTTCAGTATATAGCTTTGACTGAAATTTGTATTACAAATATCTTCTCCTGTCAGACGGCATAAGGGATGAAAACCATCTTTTCCTTTCAAGATGTTAAGAGTTCGTGGCTAGGACCTCTATTACAAAAGACAGATTAAGAAGAGAAAAATACAAATTTATTAATATAAGTTTTACAAGACATGGTAGACTTCATAAGGAAATGAAGAACTAATGCAACAGTTAAACCCGAGTGTTTTGCTAGTAAGTTTGATGAAGGTTGACGTTATAAAGGACGATGACAGGGTAAAGAGTATGAGCTAGTACAGTAAACCGCAGAAAACTTAGCAAGGCCTGTTTGTTCAGATTCTTCTCTGTGTCCCTTATCTTTGGAAAGAAGGGTGCTTTTTTGCTTTTTTTTTTTCCTGTAGTTACAAGGAAGACACTTCTGATATGAGGGTCTTATGATCTGTTTCAAGGGAAGGTCAGAGAGATCTTCCTGTTTCTGTCACTTTTTCAAATTTTTTTCAGGTTAAAATATTCAGTATGCTAAGATGCCATATTTTGGGGTAATGTGTCCTGAAAGCCATCAGTTGCTTTTCTTCCCACTTTACTTATGGTATGAATAACAGTTATTAATTTTAATGAAGTCAAATATATCAATCTTTTTTATGGTTAGGGTCTATTCTTTAAGAAGTCCCCTTCAAACCTGAGTTTTTAAAAAATCCTCTTTTTTATTTGAAAGTTTTTTTTTTTTTTTTTTTTTTTGAGACGGAGTCTCGCTCTGTCGCCCAGGCTGGAGTGCAGTGGCCGGATCTCTGCTCACTGCAAGCTCCGCCTCCCGGGTTTACGCCATTCTCCTGTCTCAGCCTCCCAAGTAGCTGGGACTACAGGCGCTCGCCACCTCGCCCGGCTAGTTTTTTGTACTTTTTTTAGTAGAGACGGGGTTTCACTGTGTTAGCCAGGATGGTCTCGATCTCCTGACCTCGAGATCCGCCCGTCTCGGCCTCCCAAAGTGCTGGGATTACAGGCTTGAGCCACCGCGCCCGGCCTATTTGAAAGTTTTAAAAGAGTCCAAGATGTATAGTAGAAAGCTGTTTCAGGTCCTCCTCCCACCCTACATACATATCCAGTTACCTGTGCATAACTTTTGAATTGATCCAATGATCTACACAGCCACTTCTGTCCTATATCAAAATTACATAAGTACATGAGTCACTTTCTGGATTTTCCATTATATTCTTAGAGGAAATAAACTATTCTGTGCTGAAGTACATGATTTCAATTACTATAGTTCTGTAATATATTGTATATATGATAGAGATATCCCCAGGCCTAGTTCTCTTCTTCTTGAGCATCTTAGCCCTTTTTTCTGTTTTGTTCTGGGTAACTTCTTCAGATTTAAACTCTAGCTAATAAATTATCTCTTCATTTTGCCCAATCTGCTATTAAGTCTATCCAAAGAGTTATTTTAAAATTTGAACAATTATGCTTTCCCTTCCTACAAGTTCCATTTGGTTCTTGTTAAACAGTTCTGTGTTTAGTTATTCCTGGTAGCACCTTGTTAATCTTTATGATTTGCACTTTATTTCTTTAGAGGTTTTGTACAAGGCTATTTGTATTTGACAATCTCAATACCTGCAGTTTTTTTGAGGATTTACATCTGTTGTTTCTGCTAACTCTCACAGTGAGTTACTATCAAGAATGCTTGGTGACCTTTGATTGTGAGTTAATTGCTTTATGTTAGTCTGTGGGAACCCTGCAGGCCTAAATTGATCATGCTTTCATCTCAAAGATAATTTACATCTCCTACCAGTAGCTATGAGGTGTCCCATACCTCAGACCAACTCTGCCAGCTCCATATGGGAGTCCCAGGCTGGGCAACACTCTTACTACCAGTCTGAAGATAAAAGTCTCAAGGGCAATATAGTTTTAGCATCCCCCTTCAGGGATTACCAACCTCTCTTTCTGCCTGTTGCTCACTGTCTTCAGCTCTCTCTCTCTCTCCTTCTCTCTCTCTCCCTCTCTCTCTCTCTCTCTCTTTCTTTCTCTCTCTCTCTCTCTCTCTCTATATATATATATATATACTACTGCTCAAGTGACAAAAATCAAGAAGGCTGAGAATACAAAGTGGTAAGATATAATTTAAATGAGGTTGGCGCATATATATATATAAAATATATATTTTCTCTCTCTATATATATATATAGAGAGAGAGAGAGGGAGAGAGGGAGAGAGCAGAATAGTGGGTCCTGAGATATCTCCACTAGCCACTGTAAGTCCAGTAATGTATCCAAAGATGTGTCCTATCCAGGGTAGGACTGTTCTGCAGAGGTCCTCTGAGAACTTAATTTGCCAGACTTCCAAAATGGGAAGACGGATCATGGGCTTTTATGTTCTTTAGTTTTCCTAACACCTTTCCCTTAACTACCCTCTCACCTCTAAACACCAGTCAATTATTTTCCCGTAACCCAAATAAAAATTGTATTGCAAGTATTTCTCAGCAAGTCTACAACTCACACTAAGTCTGGAGCAAATCGAGGGCAAAGATATAATCTCATTCATGTCTTTATGGCTAATGATTTTTACATAATTACCAATATATTGTTAACTTTTAATATATATTTGTCCAATGAGTAGGTAAAATATGAAAAATGCCCATAATTTGTCAAGGTATGTTACTTATATAAGAGCATCTATCAACTATAATATACTGTTTAAAGTTTAAAAATTTTTTTGAAACAAATACATTAATGCTAGGGTTAACTGAACTAACTTACAAAATCTACAGCATTCTTTAAGAGAAAAATTCTGCTCTTCGTAGCATCAATTGGTAAAGAACTTCAATCATCTCTGGAAAAACACTAATAGTGAACATTCTCGTCAGGTGGCCTTAAATTTTTTTTTTGATAAAACAAAACCATCAATCAGAGTTTGAATTCCAGCTTTGTCACAAGTTGACCTTAGGTAAGTTAACCACTGCTCCTCACTTTTCTTATTGGTAAAATGGAGATTGAGTCTACCTTCTAGATTGACTCAAAGATTAAATGTACTGAAACATGTAAAGTGCTAAGGACAATATCTGGTACTTTATAAAGTCTCAGTAAGTATTAGGGAATGTATAAACAGATTCGGATAAAGTTGTCTTTCTAAATCTGGATTTCTGCACCATAAATATTATAGCATCACAGAAGCAGCATTAGATGGAGGGAAGCGTACTTTCTAAAAATACAGAGACAAGAATCTGTTATTATTTATCATTTAGTAGGTATTTGTTGAATATCTGATGGGTATAAAACACTGTACTAGGCTAAAAAAACCAGAAAGATGAACAAGTGTTCTTACTTTAGAGATCGTATAAACTAGAAGAACATGGTAATTACTCAAATGACTGTACTTATTAGCAGAATACTGCAATACATACCATGGCTACTAGTATTACAGAAGAGGCACAGATAAGGCTCCTCCATAGGGGGATGAATTTGTATCTGATTTGTTGACATCCTAAGACATTTCTTAGAACCATTCAAAAAAAAAGTCCAACTGTGGTTTTCAAATAAAGAAAGACAAACTCAGGAGAGGGATGTGGTTTTTTCATAATTCTAGCATTAACTTCTGACACAATTAAAAATACAGCCCATGCTTCCTGACTCCCATCTGGCACTTTCACTTGGGAGAAATGTGATTAGCTACCTATATTAGGAGTAATTTTTAACATTGCCTTTTCAAAACACGGGGGTGAAGTAGAGGATACAATAGAGGTGCCAACCTCAACTACTACCTAAGAAAAAGAAAGGAAAGGTTGGGGAGATATAAATACACATAAATTGGCAGTCAGTCACATCAAATCCTTTTGGGGAGAAATAAAAGCAGACTTAAATGGATAGACGAATGAATGGAATCTGGGAGGGTTCTCAGAGGAAGCCTTAGAAGCAAAAAGAAAAAAAAAATAAATAAATGTTCCATGCCCCATCTTAAACCCACAAACAAAACATTTACTTTTTTTGTTTCCTTCCTTTCGTTAATTAAATAAATTATTTGGTGTCCCTGGCATGTGCCTGGCACACTTCTAGGGTTTAAAGAATCATCGCTGAACAAAACAGAGAATATTTCCACTCTTGTGCAGTTTACATGTCTGTGTTGTCTAGTAAATGACAGACAAGTAAACAAGGATCACCTGATAGTGAGGAGTTCTATACTGAGGATTAAAATAGAAGGATAAGGTAGAGTGCTTTGGTGACTGTGTTAGATTTGGAGCTGAGAGAAGACCTTTCTGAAGAAGACATGGAGGTAGGTGGTGTGTGTGTGTGTTTTTTTTTTTTTTACTAAGTTGAGGAACTGTATCATCTCAAAAGCAAAAATGCTTTAAGTGCCTTGTCTATGTAGTAGGTGCTAAAGGGAGTTCAGTGATTATGGAGTTGTTTAATTGACAAATAAGAATTTTTTGCCCACCTGAAATAACAAAAGTCAGAGAATAACAATAGGATGAAAATAAAATTTTATTTGGGGAAGTAAAAAAGAAATACCCTGGAAAATAATGAGCTGGTTCACATTTATGCCAAACGTAAAGGAAGGAAAGGAGTGTAAATCACAAGAAACTACACCTCTACATACTGATTATTACATGTGTGACATCCAAGTAGTAATGGCCTATTAAGAGTAAAACAAGCTGAGCTGAACATTAATGGGAATTAAGAGAAAAAAGTTCAAACAGTGCGGAATTATATATCTAAACATAGTGTTTATAGGAAAGTAGGCTACGGAACAACTAAACCTGACCCAAAGTGAAATTGTTCTGAAATGATAAATGTGGATATATGGAGATGTTAGGGGAAAAAAGCTTCATAATAATGTCAGTGATATTTTTTCCCTTCCACAAACTACAGGACCAGAAAAGTCTCTTGTTCAGGGAAAAATCTAAAATATTAAAATCCAGGCACTATATGTAATTAAAAGGCAAATGCACTTGACATTTTTGTTGGCACAAACTCAGAATGCCAGATCTGGGCCAGTCATCCAAACATGCCATTCAAAGCACAAACAGGAACAAAATCACATTTGAATATTAGAGAAAGAAATAGAAAGCAAATAAAACCTTTACTAGTGCTCAAATTATAAGAATGTGATGTGATCTAAAATAGCAAAGATGGTCTACTTTTTAACCTATTCCCACTGATCTTATTTACAAAATGAAGGGTTAAGACTAGCTGTTTTTTGGGATGCTTTTAGTTATGAATTCCATTTTCATTTTGAGCAGGTCATTTTCCACCAAGGCTTCGATAATTCATTAATCTGGCATATCTCAGGAAAACATACAACATGGTTTAAATCACATTAATAGAGGTTGCACTGCAATTTTCAGAGGTGTTTATTTACTAAATTAGAGACTGCCTTAATATTAAACAGATGAATCAGATTTAAAAAAATGATTTTAGTTGAGCTCTAGCTTTTCCAAGATAATTTAGTATAAAGTCTAAATTATTAATAAATATTTTAGAGTTTGAGATTGGTTTTTAATCCTAAAATGTTTTTTGGCCTTGAGTGAATGAAAAGATGGGAGCCTTATTTTTAAATGATTCTTGGTTGTCTAAAATTATCTAATAACTACATTTCACAATTTCTAATTCTCAAAGTATCTAACAAACGCTTACATCCAAAATACTTCAATGGGCTGTAGGTTGTCCAATTCTAGATAATCAACCTTTTTATACGCAACATCTTCCCCTTGTCTAAATTGGACCCTTTTAATAAGAAAGTTTCATCTCTTCCACAAAGCCTTTTCCAGCCCTCAATCCCCCAAGGGTCTTCGGAATTTCTATGCACTTGTTGGCTGTATTTCTCATTTGAACTCTAAATCACAGCCTAATAGAGGTAGGCTGGAGTTTTAGAAGGAGCAAGGCTTTCTGAAGTCACCATTCACCAATGTATAGACTTGGGGAAGTTACATAACTTGAATATCCATTTCCTTGTCTATAAAATGGAGTAGTAATATTCTTTCATATATATTCTAAGGATTATATGAGATCATGTTGAAGAAAGCTTATAAAGGTTTGTTTCCTTTGTGTTTTCCATTTATTTCCTCTCGGAGGGTACATACCAGCACCTATCTTGACTCTCTAGCAAAGAGTAAGAATTCAGAAAATATTTAATCCCCAAATCCCTCGCTTACACTAGAGATTGGACCACCAACATTCTGTACGCCACTGTTTGGAAAACAGAGTTTTACAACGTAAATGCAAATTGGCTTTTGCCTGCTATTTCAAAAGCTAGAGTAGTTGGTATAAATTAGTTCTCAGAAGAAATTAAGTGCCTGTTAGTGGCACAGTTGGATCTCTCATCCTCCTTTCTTTTTTATGGCTGCTTCAGATTCTCCTGCGACCACTTCATAAAACACTGTGTGTGATGGTAGCGTGGCTGGAAGGTGGGGGGACAGAGTGGTGCTTGTTTTGTCTTTTTGCCATGAAAACTTTTGTTCCCCTACATTTCTTCTCTTAAAATCTAATACTCAGCAACCTTTAAGCAAGTGACTTCATTTTTCTTTGACTTTTAGTGTATTTACTTTTTCGATTATTTTCAAATGCACTGAATCCAAGTGGTTCACATATTCCATGTAGAGTTTTGAATTCCTAAAAGCCAGTTTCTATGCACCTCACTCCAAATGAATCCAACTACTCTCAATGACCCCTAGCTTACGGAGTAAAGGAAAAAATCTTCATTGATTTTGAAGAGATCACCGAGGCACTGTCCTCCAGTATTGCCACAGCACACAGCTGCCTGGGGCTCCTCGGTATTTCCTGGAACACCTAACCCACCTGGATGATCTGAGTTATTCCTCTTCCATCTGCCTCACTCTGAGTTTGCTCTTTCCATGGATATCACTGAATTTATATTTTATGAACATATTTCTTTTACAATCTGCCCCCAATATGTTTTCACAATTTGGGAGACTAGAGAGCTAAGATATTTAAAGGAAAATTGTGTTCTCTATCAAGTTTACATATACTTAGTAGGTTAAGATACTGCAGCCTGGCTCACCTCAGCTACTTGGGATCACTGCATGAACCAAAATGCTCAGATACAGAGATTAAAAACCTAAATTACAAAATCCCATCCTCACCGCATTTTCTGATTTAAAAATATTGAACACTTCTTTGACCTGTAGTGAACTCAGCAGTGGAGCTGGAGCAGCCAAGAAAAATGGGGCAAAAGAAGAATCAAACCAAAGGCTAAAATCTGTAAAACCAAGTATAATTTGAGAAACAGGATCCATAAAGCTATCCAATAAATTGTTAATAATATCACATGTGACTATTAACAGTTTTCCCCAAATCTTAGCTGAAGAGTGATTTCTAATTTTCTTGAAATTAGAAACTTCAAGCTGAAGTTACAAGAATCAGGTGAAATGACAGACCTTACTCTGTTTTTCTTATTAGTTTTTTGCAAGATAATAATTCTTTCAGATTTGCAAGCATAAAGATTAGTCTTCTAGGCAACATGCCTCAGAAATAATAAAAGTTTCTGCTCATTCGGCACAGCTGAGTGAAAAGACCCAGTTCTGGGCAAGAGCAAAATGGGTGCCTAGCCATATTCATGTTACAATTTAGGAATGGAAAGAAGGCAAAGCACCTCTATCTGAGATCAGTGGTCACCAGTCTGTTGGGAATTTGGGTGGCCTAAACGAGATGCGGTAACCAACACTCTTTTTTAGAGGGCAGCAGACCTTAGATACCACTCCTCTGTTTTTTTGATGTAAAATCCTGTTCTACGCATAACTCACTTCTGACCTTCAATTCACAACTCCCTAAAGTCAAATTTTCTTCATCAAACCTCTCTGGATGCTACATTGGCAGTGTCAGCCCCTCCTAATTTTTTCAACTCTCCTTTTGCCCTAGAGCTGGTGTTGCCTGGTTTTTCTTCTTAATGTTCAGATTCTCTTCACCACTTAATTTGCCCCCAGCATGTTCCTTATTTTGGTATGGTTTCCCAATAAAACTCTACTGGGAAGTATTCTTTTGAACAATATGATTAAAACAAAAAAACAAACAATCATTTCTCATCTAGCCTATTTAAAAACAGGACTATTCGATCCCTTATTTTATTTTATTTTTTTGAGACAGGGTCTCACTCTGTCTCCCGGGCTAGAGTTCAGTGGAATTATCTTGGCTCGGTGCAGCCTCACCCTCCTGGGCTCAAGCGATCCTCCCAGCTCAGCCGATGGAGTAGCTGGGACTATAGGGACATTCTGCTATGCCTGGCTAATGTTTTCTTTCTCTTTCTCTTTCTTTTCTTTCTTTTTCTTTTTTCTTTCTTTTTTTTTTTTGGTAGAGATGAGGTTTCTCCATGTTGTCCAGGTTGGTCTTGAACTCCTGGGTTCAAGCAATCCACCTGCCTTGGCCTCCCCAAGTGCTGGGATTACAGGCGTCAGTCACCACACCCAGCCAATCTCTTATTTTTAACTCAAATAGAGACATCTCTAGGGCAATCAGATAATTCACAAATTTTAATCTCTGTTCACTCATACTGTTTTTCTTTCCCAAACAGGTATTTAACATACCCGCACAATTCAAAGCTACTTAAATATTCCAAGTCATCACAGTAACTCAATCCTTTAAGCACATAACATTTCAATCCAGATGAACACACTAAAATAATTTAGAAACAGACTAAAATAATTCCTTGTAAGAGCTTTGTAAACATCTGGAGAAATCTTATTCTATCATATCACAATGTACTTTAATAACTAAGTCTATTCTAAGCACATGGCCACAACTACTTGCACTGTAACAGATGATGTTCTCAATATAAGATTATGTTGCAATGGCATCAACAAACCATGATCTTACGAATCAATTATCTTAATTACCAGGACCATTTTTAAGGAAAATAAAAAATTACTGGTTCCCTATTACATGTTTACATTTAAGATAAATGTAAATTTAGCACTAAGCATGAAAATTAGTAATCAGGCGCAGTGGCTCATGCTTGTAATCCCAGTACTTTGAGAGGCTGAGGTGGGCAGATCACTTGAGGTCAGAAGTTCAAGACCAGCCTGGCCAACTCCCATTTCTACTAAAAATACAAAGTTAGCTGGGCATGGTGGCAGGCACCTATAATCCCAGCTACTTGGGAGGCTGAGACAGAAGAATTGCAATCTCGCAGGAGGCGGAGGTTGCAGTGAGCCGACATCGTGCCACTGCACACCAGCCTGGGCAACAAACCAAGATTCCATCTCAAAAACAACAACAACAACAACAACAACAACAACAAAAAAAAACTAGGCCTATATTTTA